CGGGGAGACTGATTTGAGTGCTAACTCTGTCTCTGTCTTCCGCGTCGCATGGTCCATCAAGTGTCAAACACTTTCTTTACTGCAACGCCCTGGTCATTTTGCAGCACAGGCAGGAATAACCCCTGAGGCGGTTACAACAAAGCATCTAGTACACGGCCGGGCGCAGTGACTCACGCCTGTAATCCCAGCACCTGGGGAGGCCGAAGCGGGCGGATCACCTGAGGTCAGGAGTTCAAGACCAGCCTGGCCAACATGGTGAAACCCTGTCTCTACTAAAAATACAAAAAAAATTAGCTGGGCATGGTGGCGGGCGCCTGTAATCCCAGCTACTCGGGAGGCTGAGGCAGGAGAATAGTTTGAACCTGGGAGGCAGAGGTTGTAGTGAGACGAGATCACGCCATTGCACTCCAGCCTGTGAGACAAGAGTGAAACTCCCTTTCAAAAAAAAAAAAATACATAAATAAATAAATAAAGCATCTAGTACACATTGATCATGATGTGAACACAAACATGACAGCAGTTGCCAAGCTCTACGCCACAGATAACAGGGAAAACAGTTATCCACTGTCACAAGTTCCCCAAGCTAGGCCAGGCGCGGTGGCTCACGCCTTTATTCCCAGCACGGGCCCTGTTTAAGTTTTAACAGGAGAAAGGGGGCACTGGGGGCCTCACAGCGCAGCTCCTCCCGCACGAACCCCACACCCGAGGCGGAATTGCCTCCGTGACCCTCCCGTGACCCCCGCACAATATGGAGAGACTCGGGGCTGCGGGTGCGGAGCTGTCCAGAGAGGGCTCTGGGGCTGGGGCCGCAGTCGCCGCGCAGAGACAAGACAGGGCGCCCGGGGTTCCGGCTGTCTGCCCAGCCGCACCGGGCGGCCGACTGGACCGAAGGCTAAGCCGCGCCAGGGGTGCTCAGGCCCCAGACCCGGAGTCGCCGCGGGGAGGTCCGGGTCCCGGTACAGCCACTTCCATCCGGTTCCAACCAGCCCCTGCCAACCCGCCCCATATCTCGGAACTCCCAGTGGGGGCTCATTCTCACCATTTCCTCGCTTTCAGGTAACTACCACGTCCAGAGCAGTGACAACGCAGACGACAGAGCTACAGAAGTATGGCGATGGCAACTGGTCCCTCTCAGAGCAGGAAAAACGGGGTGCCAACCTCCCCCGGCTGGGGGAGCCAAAGACTGAGGAGAGCGGGAATACCACACAGTTGTAGGTAAAAAAAGAAAAGAAAAGAAAAGAAAAAAAGGCAGATTTATGAAGGAAAGTATGAAAGTACCTTGCAAGAAGGCAACAGGCAGAACCAGAGAAGGGAGCTGGCTGCAAAGACACAAAAGGTTTGCTAGAGATTTTATAGAGTGCAACTTGGGAGCTTGCATTGTTCTGTCAGCTGAAATATTTGATAAATCGAGGTTTTTGATGGTAAACAAGAAATTTGTGAGTTATCTACATTATTTGTTTAGGAAGGCTATTTGTCCCGGGCCATAAAGAAAGTGAGACCTATGGCCAGGCACGGTGGCTCATGCCTGTAATCCCAGCACTTTGGGAGACCAAGGCAGGCAGATCACCTGAGGTCAGGAGTTTAAGACCCGCTGGCCAACATGGCAAAACCCAGTCTCCACCAAAAAATACAGAAATTAGCCGGGCCTGGTGGCAGGTGCCTGTAATCCCAGCTACTCTGGAGGCTGAGGCAGGAGAATTACTTGAACCTGGGAGGCGGAGGTTGCAGTGAGCGAGATGCTGAGATTGAGTCATTGCACTCCAGCCTGGGTGACAAAGTGAGATTCCATCTCAAAAAACAAAATAAATTAGCAATATTTTAAACAAAAAGCTATAAAAAGATTATTTCAGTCTTCCTTAGTTCAGTCTATGTAATAAACTTCTGCTCAACATTTATGAACACATTAGTACTTGACAGGAGTCTTATAGTTTTAAAATTATTTTTATTTTTTTGTTTCTCGTCCACCTGGGTTTTTTTTAATTATTATTTTAATGCTACAATTTCTAAAGTTACCAGAAACTTGCCTACAATTTCTAAAGTTAACAGAAATAGCACCTGTTAAAGTCCTATAGCTGATTATAAAACTAACTCAAAAATAATCAAACTAGGCTGGGCGCAGTGGCTAATGCCTGTAATCCCAGTACTTTGGGAGGCTGAGGCTGGCAGATCACCTGAGGTTGGGAGTTCGAGACCAGCCTGACCAACATGCAGAAACCCTGTTTCTACTAAAAATACAAAATTAGCCGGGCGTGGTGGTGCATACCTATAATCCCAGCTACTCAGGAGGCTGAGGCAGGAGAATCACTTGAACCTGGGAGGCAGAAGTTGCAGTGAGCCAAGATCGCACCATTGCACTCCAGCCTGGGTGGTGGAGCAACTCTGTCTCAAAAAATAATAATAATAAATAAATAATAATTAAACTGAAACCAACTGTAGATGACAAATCTTAGAACATCTATTGGCCGGGCGCGGTGGCTCAAGCCTGTAATCCCAGCACTTTGGGAGGCCGAGACGGGCGGATCACGAGGTCAGGAGATCGAGACCATCCTGGCTAACACGGTGAAACCCCGTCTCTACTAAAAAATACAAAAAACTAGCCGGGCGAGGTGGCGGGCGCCTGTAGTCCCAGCTACTCCGGAGGCTGAGGCAGGAGAATGGCGTAAACCCGGGAGGCGGAGCTTGCAGTGAGCTGAGATCCGGCCACTGCACTCCAGCCTGGGCGACATAGCCAGACTCCATCTCAAAAAAAAAAAAAAAAAAAAAAAGAACATCTATTGTTTGTTTTGTTTTGTTTGTTTTTGAGACAGAGTCTCTGTTGCCAGTCTGGAGTGCAGTGGCACAATCTTGGCTCACTGCAACCTCAGTCTCCTGGGTTCAAGCAATTCTCCTGCCACAGCCTCCTGAGTAGTTGGGATTACGGGTATGTACCACCACACCCAGTTAATGTTTTGTATTTTTAGTAGAGACGGGGTTTCACCATTTTGGCCAGGCTGGTCTTGAACCCCTGACCTCATGATCCACCCACCTTGGCCTCCCAAAGTGCTGGGATTACAGCACTTTGAGCCACCGCACCCGGCCAAGAACATCCATTGTTAAGGTCTGGTCATTTATGTGACACACAATAATTTAACATAAAAGTTGTAATTATTACTGATGTTAAACTCAATTCATTTTTTTTTTTTAGGCAGAGTCTCACTCTATTGCCCAGGCTGGAGTGTGGTGGCACAATCTCAGCTCACTGCAACCTCCACCTCCCGGGTTCATGCAAGTCTCCTGCTTCAACCTCCCGAGTTGCTGGGACTACAGGCACATGCAGCCAAGCCTGGCTTATTTTTTTGTATATTTAGTAGAGATGGGGTTTCACCGTGTTGCCCAGGCTGGTTTTGAACTCCTGACCTCAGGTGATCTGGCGGCCTCGGCCTCCCAAAGTGCTAGGATTACAGGCATGAAGCACCGCTCCTGGCCTGAGACTTTACTTCTCTAATAAACTTGCTTTCTCTTTACTCTAAGGACCCACCCTGAGTTCTTTCATGAGAACCAAGAACTCTCTCGGGGTCTGAATTAGGACCCCTTTCTGGTAACAGCCTCAAGATGGTATATAAGCTTTTCTGTCTTATTGTTGGGTGGGTCTTCTTACTAAAGGCAGCCCTGTATACATGTTAAATAAGTTCATATGCCTTTTCTCATATTAATCAGCTTTATGTCAATGATATTTTAGCAAATATTTTGGGGATCAAGAGCCTATTGCCCCATCAAAGCCATCCCCTTGCCTCAGAGCAGGAGGGGAGCCCAGATGAGGCCAGGCAAGACTACATCGGGAGGAAGAGACAGATGTTCTGCAGGGCAAGATAATTTGGAATGAGGCAAGGCCAAGGCTTTCTCACACCCACATTCCTCGTCACAGTGTGGAAATGCTCCCTCCTTCCAGAACTTTATTTTCACCATCAGGAAACTCTCACCTGGGGTGAGTTTAAGTTTGTGATCTAAATAAACTGCTAACTTCATAAACTCTTTCTCAACATCCCAAACAATTCTGTCTGTGAGCCTGACTTACCACACATTTTTTTTTTGGAGACAGAGTCTCACTGTCACCCAGGCTTAAGTGTGGTGGTGTGATCACAGCTCACTGCAGCCTCCAGGGCTCAATCGGTCCTCCCACCTCAGCCTCCTGAGTAGCTGGGGATACAAGCATGCATCACCACACCCAGCTAAATTTTGTATTTTTTGTAGTGATGGGGTCTCACCATGTTGCCCAGGTTGATCTTGAACTCCGGTGCTCAACCTAATCACTCACCTCGCCCTCCCAAAGTGTTGGGATTAGAGACAAGAGCCAGGGTGCCTGGACACATTTTCTTTATATATACAAATTACAATATGACCCTAGTGACCCTACACATGTCAAAGCCAAAGCACTGTCCAGAAAATGGCCCCAGGCTCCAGACATGCAAACCCAGAAAGGACAGAACCCGCCGGGGATCTGCACTAAGGTTTCCAGCTTTCCAGGCCTCTGCACCTTCTCAGGATCCACACCCATTCTGCAGCTGCTCTGCGCAGCTGGATATCACCTGCAGGGGAGGGAGGGCTGCCTGGGAAGCCCTCAGGGGAGCTCCATTTTCTTCCCTTTGCAGGTTCCAGGCGGGCCTCAGCGTGGAGTCACTGGCCTCAGGCTTTGCTGCCCCCATGCAGGTTATTCACCTGCATTTCACCTCCATGATCAGACAAAAAGATCTTCAATCTCATCTTTTAAAAACAAGAAACCAACAGAGTCGCTGCTTTCCTCCTGTGTGTATATGTAAAGAAGGAAAATTCTAGGAAAATGTAAATGCATTAAAAGACTTCTAGGCTGGGCATGGTGGCTTGCGCCCATAATTCTATCGGTTTGGGAGGCTGAGGCCAGAGGATCACTTAAACTCAGGAGTTCAAGAAATGCCTGGGCAAAATAGTGAGCCCACATCTCTATTAATTAAAAAAAAAAATTCCAGATCATGGTGGTAGAGGCAATGGCCACTGAGGAACCCACGGTCTGGACACAATGGCACTGGCTGGACATAATGGGGGGCAGGAAGAAAGCAAAGGTAGGGAGTAGGGTGTGCTAGAGGCCGAGGGGAGGGATAGCACACGTTTTTCAGAGAAAACGAGGATGCTAGCACTGTTTTGCCTGACTCTTTGGGCAGTCTGTAATAAGTTGTGGGGGAAGCCGGGTGCAGTGGTTCACGCCTGTAATCCAGCACTTTGGGAGAGTAAGGCAGGCAGATCACCTGAGGTCGGGAGTTCAAGATCAGCCTGACCAACATGGAGAAACCCCGTCTCTACTAAAAATACAAAAATTAGCCGGGCGTGGTGGTGCATGCCTGTAATCCCAGATACTTGGGAGGCTGAGGCAGGAGAATCGCTTGAACCCAGGAGGCGGAGGTTTTGGTGAGCCGAAATCGCGCCATTGCACGCCAGCCTGGACAACAAAAGCAAAACTCTGTCTCAAAAAAAAAAAAAAATTTGTGGAGGAATCCTGTCTGGGAAACTCACCCATGATGTTTGTGTCACATTAGGGAGAAGACTCCAAGGGGGAGTTTCCACTCTTACTTCAACCATTGTATTTAATTATTTTTCTAGAGAGGACACGCTCATGGCATGATTTGTGTTTCTTTGGGAATACCATTAAAAACCTAGGCCCTGCGCAGTGGCTCACACCTGTAATCCCAGCACTTTGGGCTGCCCAGGCAGGCAGATCACTGAGGCCAGGAATTGGAGGCCAGCATGGTGAAACCCCGTCTCTACTAAAAATACAAAAATTAGCCAGGCATGGGACAGGCGTGGTGGCTGACGCCTGTAATCCCAGCACTTTGGGAGGCTGAGGCAGGCAGATCACGAGGTCAGGAGATTGAGACCATCCTGGCTAACACGGTGAAACCCCGTCTCTACTAAAAATACAAAAAATTAGCTGGGTGTGGTGGCAGGCCCCTGTAGTCCCAGCTACTTGGGAGGCTGAGGCGGGAGAATGCCGTGAACCCGGGAGGCGGAGCTTGCAGCGAGCCGAGATCCCGCCACTGCACTCCAGCCTGGGCGACAGAGCAAGACTCCGTCTCAAAAAAAAAAAAAAAAAAAAGAAAAGAAAAAGAAAAAGAAAACAATTAGCCAGGCGTGGTGGTGCATGGCTATAATGTCAGTTACCCAAGAGGCTGAGTGAGGCACAAGAATCACTTGAACCAGAGAGGTGGAGGTTGCAGTGAGCCAAGATCACGCCACTGCACTCCAGCCTGGGCGACAGAGCAAGTCTCCATCTCAAAAAAAAAAAAAAAAAAAAAAAAAAAAAAGCAAGCAACTCTCTTCTTTCTCAGTTCATCTGCATCTCGTTATTGAGCACAGAGAATAAGCAGCCCAATCCTCGGTTTGGTCTGGGAACAAGGGTGCAAGGAAAGCAGGTAGGGTTCAGGCCAAGACCAAAATGAGAGAAGGAAATGTGACCTGCAGAGGGTTTGGGGTTGTGAAAATAAGTCTGAGCAAGGAAAAACTGAGCCCATTTCTTCGAAGTGTGTGTTTTCCAGAATGGCCATTCCCTGCTTTTCACTTTCATAAACTCACAACTGAATTCTGATCTTTTGCACAATGCGAGGCTGACAGGGCACACACCCACATACCCACCACCCACTGACTAAGCCTCCCTGGCCCCCTTCATTCTCCTCCTGGGCTGCACACCCCTCCCGACCCCCTCTCTTCCCCTACCGTCCCCTCCTCTCCCCTGCCCTTCCTTCCCTTTCCCTTCCCTTCCTTTTTCCTTCCTTTCTTTTCTTTCTGATGGAGTCTCCTTCTGTCACCCAGGATGGAGTGCAGTGGTGCCATCTCGGTTCACTGCAACCTCCACCTCGCAGGTTCAAGCTATTCACCTGGCAATTTTTTTTTTTTTTTTTTTTTTTTTTTTTGAGACGGAGTTTCACTCTTGTTGCCCAGGCTGGAGTGCAGTGACGTGATCTCGGCTCACCACACTCTCTGCCTTCCAGGTTCAAGCGATTCTCCTTCCTCAGCTCCCCAAGTAGCTGGGACTATAGGCGCTTGCCACCACGCCTAGCTAATTTTTTGTATTTTTAGTAGAGACAAGATTTCACTATGTTGGCCAGGCTGCTGGTCTCGAACTCCTGACCTCGTGATCTGCCCACTTTTGCCTCCTAAAGTGCTGGGATTACAGGCGTCAGCCACTGCGCCCGGCCATTTTTTTTTTTTTTTTTTTTTGTATTGTTAATACATGGTTTCACCATATTGCCCAGGCTCGTCTCCAGCTCTTGACCTCAAGTGATCTGCCTGCCTTGGCCTCCCAAAGTGCTGGGATTACAGGCATGAGCCACCGCACCCAGCCTGTTTTTCCTTATGTCATACATAACACACAGGAGGCCGGGTGTGGTGGCTTAAATCTGTAATTCCAGCACTTGAAGCGGGCGGATCACGAGGTCAGGAGATCGAGACCATCCTGGCTAACACGGTGAAACCCTGTCTCTACTAAAAAAAATACAAAAAAATTAGCCGGGCTTGGTGGCGGGCGCCTGTAGTCCCAGCTACTCCGGAGGCGGAGGCTGGAGAATGGCGTGAACCCGGGAGGTGCAGCTTGCAGTGAGCCGAGATCGCGCCACTGCACTCCTGCCTGGGGGCCTGAGCGAGACTCAGTCTCAAAACAAACAAACAAACAAACAAACAAACAAACAAACAAAAAACACCACAGGAGGAAAGCAGAGACGCTGCTGGTGTCTTACTCACAAACTGGGATTGAGGGTGTTTGTCTCTAGCAACTGAATAACGGGGTGAGAAGCGGTTAAATAACCTGCAGGGGGCAGCAGAGCCCGAGGCCAATGACGTCCCGCTGAGGCCAGTCTGGAGTTTGCAAAAGGAGGGAAAGGGAGCTCCCCTGGGGGCTTCCGCGGAAGCTGGACCTTCCTTGAGGGTGGCCTCCAGCTCCAGAAGGAGTGTGGATTCTGGGAAGTTGCAGAGATGCGTTTGTGGATTCTGTCCTATCTGGGGTTGTACCTCTGAAGCCTGGAGCTATTTTCTGGGCAGTGTTTTGTTTTTGGCGTGCACAGGGTCGCTGGGGACAGACTGTAATTTATATATATGAAGAAAATCTGTGAAAGTCAGGCTCAGAGAACAAATTGGGTTGTGTTATGAACAAAGGGTTTCTAGAGTTGACTTTATTTATAAAGTCAGAATGTCAGAGTGTTCGAACCGGAGTGAATTCATCTCGTGTTATGCGCGTCCGTGTGAAGAGACCACCAAATAGGCTCTGTGTGAGCAATAAAGCTTTTTAATCACCTGGGCGCAGGTGGGCTGAGTCCGAAAAGAGAGTCAGGGAAGGGAGATAAGGGTGGGACCGTTTTATAGGATTTGGGTAGGTAAAGGAAAATTACAGTCAAAGGGGGGTTGTTCTCTGGCAGGCAGGAGTGGGGGTCACAAGGCACTCAGTGGGGAAGCTTTTTGAGCCAGGATGAGCCACGAAAGGGAATTTCACAAGGTAATGTCATCACTTAAGGCAAGGACTGGCCATTTTCACTTCTTTTGTGGTGGAATGTCAGCAGTTAAGGTGGGGCAGGGCATTTTCACTTCTTTTGTGATTCTTCAGTTACTTCAGGCCATCTGGGTGTATACGTGCAAGTCACAGGGGATGCGATGGCTTGACTTGGGCTCAGAGGCCTGACATCTTGAATAGAGGCTGGGTAAAATAAGGGTGAGGCCTACTGGGCTGCATTTGCAGGTGGTTAGGCATTCTTAGTCACAGGATGAGCTAGGAGGATGGCAGGACTGGTATCACAAGATACAGGTCATAAAGATCCCACTGATAAAACAGAGTGCCCACCAAAACCAAGATGGCGACAAAAGTGACCTCTGCCACCCTGGGCAACACGGTGATACCCCATCTCTACAAAAAATACAAAAATTAGCTGGTTGTCGTGGCCTGCGCCTGTAGTCTCAGCCACTCGGGAGGCTGAGCTGGGAGGATTGCTTGAGCCCGGGAGGCAGAGGCTGTAGGAAGGCAGAGAGGCTGCAGTGAGCTATGATTGTGCTGCTGCACTCCAGCCTGGGTGAGGGAGTGAAACTGTCTCAAAAAAAAAAAAAAAAAAAAAAAAGAAAAGAAAAGAAAGTGACCTCATGTGGTCCTCACTGCTTATTATACACTAATTATAATGCATTAACATGCTAACAGACTCTCCCACCAGCGCCATGACACTTTACAAATACCATGGCAATGTCCAGATGTTACCCTATGTGGTATAATAAGGGGTAGGAACCCTCAGTTCTGGGAATTGCCTGCCCCTTTCCCAGAACACTCATGAATAATCCACCCCTTGTTTAGCACATAATCAGGAAATAACTATAAATATACTCTGTCAAGCAGACCATGCTGCTGCTCTGCCTATGGAGTAGCCATTCTTTTGTTTCTTTATTTCTCTAATAAACTTGCTTTTACCTTATGGACTCACCCTGAATTACTTCTTGCATGAGGTCCAAGAACTCTCTTTTGGGGTCTGGATTGGTACCCCTTTCGGGTAATAAGATGAAACTGACTCCAGGTGAGAGTTTCCTGCTAATGAAAATGAAGGTGTGAGGCCGGGCGCGGTGGCTCAAGCCTGTAATCCCAGCACTTTGGGAGGCCGAGACGGGCGGATCACGAGGTCAGGAGATCGAGACCATCCTGGCTAACATGGTGAAACCCAGTCTCTACTAAAAAATACAAAAAAACTAGCTGGGCAAGGTGGTGGGCGCCTGTAGTACCAGCTACTCGGGAGGCTGAGGCAGGAGAATGGTGTGAACTCGGAAAGCTGAGCTTGCAGTGAGCTGAGATCTGGCCACTGCACTCCAGCCTGGGCGACAGAGCGAGACTCCATCAAAAAAAAAAAAAAGAAAATGAAGGTGTGGAAAGGAGGGAGAGTTTCCACACTGTGAGGAGAAGATGGGTGTATGTGAGGAAGCCTTGGCCATGCCTCATCCCAATTCCTGCCCCACTGCAGGATATCTGTCTCTTCCTCCTGGAACAGGCATGCTTGACCTGTTTCCCCTCCTGCACTGAGACAAGGGGATGGCTTTGTTGGGGTGATAGACTCTTGGCGTCCTAAAGGTTTGCTGAAAACTAATTGATCTGAGGCAGATTGATTAATAGAAAAGAAGGCATGCAAATGTATTTAACATGTATACATGGGAACCTTCAGAATGAAGACCCACCCAGCTATAAAAGAGAAGATTATATAGCAACCTGAGGTCAGTAAATTAGGTTTAGTAGCAAGACAGCTTAGTAGAGTGAGAAAGGAAGAGGCTTGGCTAGAAAATTAGCCAGCCACCAAACCTGGCTAATTTTTGTACTTTTAGTAGAGATGGGGTTTCTTCATGTTGGCCAGGCTGGTCTCGAACTCCTGACCTCAAGTGATCCACCCGCCTCGGCCTCCCAAAGTGATAGGATTGCAGGCGTGAGCCACCACGCCTGGCCCTAATCTATTTACTTATCTTTATCTTTTTAGTAGAGAGCTGGTCTCACCACGCCCAGCCACTTTTTTTTTTTTTTTTGAGACAGTGTTTTGCTCTTTTTGCCCAGGCTGGAGTGCAATGGTGCGATCTCAGCTCACTGCAAGCTCTGCCTCCCAGGTTCACGCCATTCTCCTGCCTCAGCCTCCCGAATAGCTGGGACTACAGGCGCTCGCCATCACGCCCAGCTAATTTTTTTTTGTATTTTTAGTAGAGATGGGGGTTTCACCATGTTAGCCAGGATGGTCTCGATCTCCTGATCTCGTGATCCGCCCGCCTCCGCCTCCCAAAGTGCTGGGATTACAGGAGTGAGCCACCGCGTCGGGCCAGCCGAAGGCAAATATTAAAAGTAAAGGTGGGAGGGAGGGACCGAGCTGACCTTGGAAAGTGTGGCCAGAACCGGTCACTTTGACTCTGCAGCGCCAGTTTACCCAGGGCTTCTGCTGTCACTCAGGGAAGGGGGCGGAGTCTAGACCCCTATCCAATCAGGGGCGCTGGGGCGGGGCCCTGCCACTGTCCTCCAGGGAAGGGGAGATTGCATTCCCGCTCTCTTCACTCCGAGAGCTGTTCGCGCCTGTTAAGGTATGGGTCTTTCCTTCTCTGAGAGGGACCAGTTACTTCCGCCGTAGCTGCTGCTGCTCTGTCGACTGCAAGGTGAGCTGCACTATTCGCGGGACCTTTAGAGAGGACGCCGGGATACCTCGAAGCTCGGAAATGGTGAGCACGCTGGGCTGGGGGGTCCCAAGCCGAAAGGAGGGGCTGGGTGGAACCGAGAGGAACCCGCTGTGGCGGGGCCCAGGCCTCCCTGCAGCGACGCTGGGGTCCGGACACAGTCCCCCTGGCGCAGCTCGGTCCTCCGTCTCCTCGGCCGCTGGGTGGGGCTGGGCCGGCAGCCGGGACCCCGGGCGTCCTGTCAGGTCCCTGCGCGGCAACTGCGGTCCCAGCCCCGGCCCCGGCTCCCTCTCTGAGCAGCTCCGCGCCCGCAGCCCCGCGTCTCCGGTGGTTCAGGGACCACGGAAGGGTCATGGGGGGATCCCGCCTCGGGTGTGGGGTTCGTGTGGAAGGAGCGGTGGCCTGTGGGGTCCCCAGTTCCTTTTTTTTCTCCAGTTAAAAATTAAACGGAGGCACTGTTAAAAAATGAGAGTTTCTTTTAGCAAACAGCGATTAATGAATGAGAAACTCCCAGTCCTGGCTTGTGGTTTGGTAACGGAAAAACCCAAACCGTGTAGAATAAGTTTATTCTGAGCCGAATAGGAGAGACCTCCGCTGAGGGAAACACAACCCCACGAAGCCCGGAGTAAGCGGTCCCGAGGCAGCTCATGACAGTTTGGTTTTATTCATTTCAGGGAGACAGGAATTGCAGGAGAATGATGCATCAGTGCCGGGAAGGTGTAAGTTCCTTTGGCCGAAAGGCGGGACACATGGAAGCGGGGTTAGAAGGCACAGGTGGTTGGAGGGATTCTGTGGGTGGCGGTGGGTTGAGAGTGTGTGAAGCTTTGTCTAAAATTTGGAGGCTGTAGGAAGGAGGGCTGTTATCTGCCACGTGACTCCATCCCAGTCCCTGCTCCCTTCCCCAGAAGACCTGTTTTTGTTTACCAGATTTTATTTTTTTGAGACGGAGTCTCGCTCTGTCGCCCCAGGCTGAAGTGCAGTGGCGCCATCTCGGTTCACTGCAACCTCCGCCTCCCGTGTTCAAGCGATTCACCTGCCTCAGCCTCCCGAATAGCTGGGACTACAGGCGCCAGCCACCACGCCCAGCTAATTTTTGTATTTTCAGTAGAGACGGGTTTCACCATATTGGCCAGGCTGGTCTCGAACTCCTCGTGACCTTGTGATCCCCCACCTCGGTCTCCCAAGGTACTGGGATTACAGGCGTGAGCCACCGCGCCCGGCCAATTTTTGTAGTTTTAGTAGAGACGGAGTTTCAGGATATTGGCTAGGCTGGTCTCTGCCACGTGATTCCATCCCAGTCCCTGCTCCCTTCCCCAGAAGACCTGTTTTTGTTTTACCAGATTTTATTTTTTTGAGACGGAGTCTCGCCCTGTTGCCCCAGGCTGGAGTGCAGTGGCGCAATCTCCGGCTCATTGCAACCTCTGCCTCCCGGGTTCAACGGATTGTCCTGTATCAGATTACAGGCGTGAGCCACCGTGCCCGCCCCAGGCCTTTAAAAATTTTCTTTCATTTCTTTTCGTATTTAAAAAAGTGAATTTAACATTTCCAGCTTCAGAAGATGTGATGGCCATGGAGTCTTTGTGTGAGAAAAGTAAGAGGGAAGTCAGTCTATAATGAAATCAATCCTTAAGAGGGGAGGGGTCTTTCATGACTTGCTTCAGTAATTTAAAATATGTTACAAAACAATATAGGTAAGAAAGAAAGCTAATCTGTAATCAGAGAATGGACCCTTCCCTGGCTGGCTCTGTTACCACTGCCTGTCAGGTGTCTCAACCCTAGAATCGCATTCCTTTAAACCTCAAGATAATTTAGAGTTCCAGCAGCTTAAATGTTTGAATCACCTATTTTCACAGTCTGTACAGGTGAAACTTTTGGTTATGTAATCAGAGATTAATTGCCTGGTTAAGCCTAAATTCCATTTCCCTATAAATTAATCTTTAGTGATATTGTTTCCTCAGGCCACAGATTAGAAATTTATGTGAGGCCGGGCGCGGTGGCTCACGCCTGTAATCCCAGCACTTTGGGAGGCCGAGGCGGGCGGATCACAAGGTCAGGAGATCGAGACCATCCTGGCTAACACGGTGAAACCCCGTCTCTACTAAAAATAGAAAAAATTAGCCGGGCGCAGTGGCGGGCGCCTGTAGTCCCAGCTACTCCGGAGGCTGAGGCAGGAGAATGGCGTGAACCCGGGAGGCGGAGCTTGCAGTGAGCCGAGATTGCGCCACTGCACTCCAGCCTGGGCGACAGAGCGAGACTCCGTCTCAAAAACAAAAAAAAAAAAAAAAAAAAAAAAAAGAAATTTATGTGAATTGGATTTGAATTTGACTTCAGTATGCTTGTGGAGGGTCTTAGTGTTCTATAGCCAGTTCAGTTTAATTGCTTATTTATTTATTTTTGAGACAGTCTCTTTCAGTCTCTTTCTGTTGCCCAGGCTGGAGTGCGTGGCCCAATCTGGGCTCACTGCAACCTCCGCCTCCCGGGTTCAAGTGATTCTCCTGCTTCAGCCTCCCAAGTAGCTGGGACTACAGATGCATACCACCATACCTGGCTAATTTTTGTATTTTTAGTAGAGACAGGGTTTCACCATGTTGGCCAGGCTGATCTTAAACTCCTGATCGCAGGTGATCTACCTGCTTTGGCCTCCCACAGTGCTGGGATTACAGGCATGAGCCACCGCACCTGGCCAAAATTGGATGTTTTAAAATTGGATGCCATGTCAGTAAGAATATAAATACTCAGGAACACCACCCAGGAAAATGAATAGTCCTTGGGCAGTTCTGGCTTGTTTCTTTGATGTCACTTAACTGTGACACACAAAGGTGGTCAAAGTTTTGATTCTGTTGGTTATTTTTTTTCCTTTTTTTTTTTGAGTCAGAGTTTCTCTCTTGTTGCCCAAGCTGGGGTGCAATGGTGTGATCTCAGCTCACTGCAACCTCCACCTCCCGGGTTCAAGCGATTCTTCTGCCTCAGCCTCCCGAGTAGCTGGGATTACAGGCATGTGCCACCACGCCTGGCTAATTTTTGTATTTTTAGTAGAGACGGGGTTTCACTAGGTTAGCCAAGCTGGTCTTGAACTCCTGACCTCATGCTCTAACCACCTTGGCTTCCCAAAGTGCTGGGATTACAGGCGTGAACCACTGTGCCCGGCCTGTTATTATTTTTTTCTTTTTCCTTTTTTTTTTTTTTGAGAGGGAGTCTTGCTCTGTCGCTCAGGCTGGAGTGCAGTGGCGCCATCTCTGCTCACTACAACTTCTATCTACCAGGTCCAAGCGATTCTCCTTCCTCAGCCTCCCAAGTAGCTGGGATTACAGACACCTGCCACCACGCCTGGCTAATTTTTGTATTTTTAGTAGAGATGGGGTTTTACCACTTTAGCTGGGCTGTTCTTGAACTCCTGACCTTAGGTGATCCATCTCCCAAAGTGCTGGAATTACACACATGAGCCACCTCACCCAGCCTTCTTTTTGTTATTCTTTGTAGCTGCATTATCTTTTTTGTTCTTTTTCTTTTTTTTTTTTTTGAGATGGAGCCCCCTCTGTCACCCAGGCTGGAGTGCAGTGGCATGATTTCGGCTCACTGCAATGTCTGCCTCCTGGGTTCAAGCGATTCTCCTGCCTCAGCTTCCTGAGTAGCTGGGCTGCAGGTGCCTGCCACCACGCCCCGCTACTTTTTGTATTTTTAGTGGAGACGGGGTTTCACCATATTGGCCAGGCTGGTCTCAAACTCCTGACTTTGTGCTTTGTGATCCACCCACCTCAGCCTCCCAAAGTGCTGAGCCACTGCGCCCAGCCTTTTTTTTTTTTTTGAGACAGAGTCTTGCTCTGTCGCCCAGGCTGGCGTGCAGTGTGTGATCTTGGCCCACTGCAATCTCCACCTCACAGGTTCAAGTGATTCTCCTGCCTCGGCCTCCCGCGTAGCTGGGATCACAAGCGCCCACCACCAAGCCCAGCTGATTTTTGTATTTTTAGTAGGGATGGGGTTTTACCAGGTTGGCCACGCTGGTCTCGAACTCCTGACCTCAGATGATCCACCCACGTCCACCTCCTAAAGTGCTGGGATTACAGGCGTGAGCCACCTCGCCAGGCCTGCCATATTTTCTATTATCACAAAGTAGAATTTTTGGCTGTTTGGAGTTTCCAGTAACTTGGTGTTGCAATTAATGTACCTTTCATGTTATACCAAAAGGGTTTGTTTCTGATTTTTTGCCTCATTCTGTTGCAAACATGCCACTGTGTTGAGTCATGGGTCGCCCAGTTTACTTATGCATTTCACTACTTAATGGGTTTTGGGTTTACAGTTTAGTTTTTGACCTTAGTGACAATGTCATGGTTGGCTTTTTTTTTTTTTGCCATATGAAAATGCCACATAAATTTCTCACATATTGGGGGAAAAGTCACTGGGTTGTAGATTATGGATAAATTCCAATATAAAAGATAATGCCAGCAGAGTGTATGTACGGATCAACCATCTAGCCTTTCATGTGTGTGTCTTTATTTTTGTGGTTTACCAACACTTGGGATTATCTATTAGTAGAGACGGTGTTTCACCATATTGATCAGGCTGGTCTTGAACTCCTGACCTCAGGTGATCCACCTGCCTTGACCTCCCAAAGTGCTGGAATTACAGGCATGAGCCACCATGCCAAGCCCAGTTTAGGTTTTTCTATTCACGTAGTTTCCCAGAAAGGTTTCTGTTCATGAGGTTTTGTTTTAGTTATGACTCTCTTATCAATTAGAATTTTTTTTTTTTTTTAACCGACAGAGTTGGCTCTGTCACCCAGGCTGGAATGCGGTGGCATGTTTTTGGCTCACTGCAACCTCTGCCTCCTGGGTTCAAGTGATTCTCCTGCTTCAGCCTCCCAAGTAGCTGGAATTACAAGAGCCCATCACTACACCTGGCTAATTTTATTATTTTTAGTAGAGATGGGGTTTTGCCATGTTGGCCAGGTTGGTCTCAAACTCCTGACTTCAGGTGATCCGCCCACCTTCGCCTCCCAAGGTACTGGGATTTATAGGTGTGAGCCACCATGCCCAGCCAGACTCTTATCAGTTGGATTAATAAAGCCCCTTGCAAAATCCATTTTTTTTTGTTTTTGGCTTCTGCTACTGGAATCAGAACAAAACCCACTTTCTAGTCATCACAAAGGTTAAACTTTGTGAACAGGTATTTTCAAGAATATGCAGCCTTAGGGCTGCTAATGTTAACTTTGTTTTGCTCATGAATTCAAAGGAGTTTGTTATGACAGGTGCTGCAGATCCATACTTCAGACATTAAGGGCAGTCCAGGCAGCACGCCTTTCTCCCTGGACTCACCAGAAACACACATTTTCCTATTCTGCTGTTGCTTTACCCCATCCAGAGTTCAATTCTAGCATCAAAATTGTTTTCTGTAAAAAAGTGAGTGTAGACGGAGAGTAAGGGGTCTGATGACCAAGTCATGGAATAAATGTTTGGAGTCCACACACCATAGCATCCTGAGAACTTCCTAGGAACAGGGTGTAGGAACCCAGTGCTGTCAGCCTCACTCATCCTCCTGTCTACATGTGGGATATTTCAGGATTCGGTGGCCTTTGAGGATGTGGCTGTGAACTTCACCCAGGAAGAGTGGGCTTTGCTGGATCCTTCCCAGAAAAATCTCTACAGGGAAGTGATGCAGGAAACCTTGAGGAACCTGGCCTCCATAGGTAAGAATGACAGTATTACTTCCCTTAGTGAATTAAAGAACAGGTGTTTCTAGTTCATCAGTGCTGTTGAGTGATTTGGAATATGGTCAGGGAATACTTTCAATAAATAAGGCACAGGTGCAATGAGCCATGGACATAGAAACAAGTAACCTTTTTTATAATTTTATACTAATTCAGGACTTTTTCTGGGTTCACATTTTAGGAAAAAAGTGGAACAACCAGTACATTGAAGATGAGCACCAAAATCCTAGGAGAAACCTAAGGTAACTGGCACTTACAAGAGAAAATAATGTCTCTGTAGATGATCTTAGAATGGAAGAAAATGTTAAAAAGAAGCAAGCATAAGAAATAAACCTAGTTCCAATGTATTTATTCTTAGAAAAGCTTCCCTAGAAACATATAAAGTGTGACATGGCTTATATGTATAATCCAGCCCTTTGGAGGTCAGGATGGAAGATCACTTGAACCTGGGAGTCTGAAGTTGCACTGATTCATGATGGCATCACTGGAGGGCAGCCTGGGACACAGGGTGAGACCCTGACTCAAAAACAAACAGACAAAGACAGTATTTATAAAATAATTTACTTTAAAATACCATTTAAAAGCCGGACATGGTGGCTGACACCTGAAATCCCAGCACTTTGGAAGGCTGAGGTAGGTGGATCACGAGGTCAAGAGATGAAGACCATCCTGGCCATCATGATGAAACCCCGTCTCTACTAAAAATACAAAAAATTAGCTGGGCATGGTGGTGTGTGCCTGTAGTGTCTTGGGAGGCTGAGGCAGGAGGATTGCTTGAACCTGGGAGGCGGAGGTTGCAGTGAGCCGAGATCACGCCACTGCACTCCAGCCTGGCAACAGAGTGAGACCTGGTCTCAAAAAAATAATAATAATGAAAATAAAGCATTTAAAATTCCTGTATCAATATTATCTTTTTTGATAAGAGATATGGCTGGGCCATCTTTTATAACATGTGCTCCATTCATGTTCAGACAGGACAGAAAGCCTATACTTTGCTGGGCACAGTATTTTTTTTATTATTTATTTATTTATTTATTTATTTTGTTTTTGTTTTTTTTGAGACGGAGTCTTGCTCTCTGGCCCGGGCTGGAGTGCAGTGGCCGGATCTCAGCTCACTGCAAGCTCCCCATCCCGGGTTTATGCCATTCTCCTGCCTCAGCCTCCAGAGTAGCTGGGACTACAGGCGCCCGCCACCTCACCCGGCTAGTTTTTTGTATTTTTAGTAGAGATGGGGTTTCACCGGGTTAGCCAGGATGGTCTCGATCTCCTGACCTCGTGATCCGCCCGTCTCGGCCTCCCAAAGTGCTGGAATTACAGGCTTAAGCCACCGCACCTGTCCTCACGGTATTTTTTTTTTTTTGAGACGGAGTTTCGCTCTTGTTGTCCCGACTGGAGTGCAATGGCGCGATCTCTGGCTCACCGCAACCTCTGCCTCCTGGGTTCAAGCAATTCTCCTGCCTCAGCCTCCCGAGCAGCTGGGATTACAGGCATGTGCCACTACACCCGCTGATTTTTTTTTTTTTTTTTTTTTGAGACAAGAGTCTTGTTCTGTCGCCCAGGCTGGAGTGCAGTGACGCAATCTCAGCTCACTGCAAGCTCCGCCTCCTGAGTTTACGCCATTCTCCTGCCTCAGCCTCCTGAGTAGCTGGGACTACAGGCACCCGCCACCTCGCCCGGCTAGTTTTTTGTATTTTTTAGTAGAGATGGGGTTTCACCGTGTTAGCCAGGATGGTCTCGATCTTCTGACCTCGTGATCCGCCCGTCTCGGCCTCCCAAAGTGCTGGGATTACAGGCTTGAGCCACCGTGCCCGGCCTGATTTTGTATTTTTAATTTTTAGTAGAGATGGGGTTTCTCCATGTTGGTCAGGGTGGGCTCGAACTCCCAACCTCCAGTGATCTGCCTGCCTCGGCCTCCCAAAGTGCTGGGATTACAGGCGAGAGCCACTGCGCCTGGCTAACTGGGCACTGTTAAAAACGCAAGTGCAATACTTGCAAACGAATTAAAATTAGTGATAAACCCATTACAATGTCCTTTTCATTGTTCACAGAAGAATTATAAAAGAGAGACTCTCTGAAAGGAAAGAAAGTCATCAGCATGGAGAAGTTTTGACACAGGTTCCAGATGACACATTGAAGAAGAAAATTCCTGGAGTAAAATCACATGAAAGCAGTGTGTGTGGAGAAATCGGCATGGGTCTTTCATCTCTTAATAGGCACCTGAAAGCCTTTAGTTATTCCAGTAGCCTTTCAATACATGGAAGAACTCACACTGGGGAAAAGCGTTATGAATGTAAGGAATGTGGGAAAGCATTCAGGTTTCCCAGTTCTGTTCGTAGACATGAAAGAATCCACTCTGCAAAAAAACCCTATGAATGTAAGCAATGTGGGAAAGCATTATCTTATCTTATAAGCTTTCAAACACACATGAGAATGCACACTGGAGAGAGACCTCATAACTGTAACATATGTGGGAAAGCCTTTTTTTCTCCCAGTTCGTTAAAAAGACACGAGAAAAGTCACACTGGAGAGAAACGCTATAAATGCACACAATGTGGTAAAGCTTTCAATTGTCCCAGTTCCTTTCAATATCATGAAAGGACTCACAGTGGAGAGAAACCCTATGAGTGTACACAATGTAGGAAAGCCTTCAGATCTGTCAAGTACCTGCGAGTACATGAAAGAAAACACACTGGAGAGAAACCCTATGAGTGTAAGCTGTGTGGTAAGGGCTTTATTTCTTCCACTTCCTTTCGCTATCATGAAAAGACTCACACTGGAGAGAAACCTTATGAATGTAAGAAATGTGAGAAAGCCTTCAGTTTTGTCAAGGATCTTCGAATCCATGAAAGGACACACACTGGAGAGAAACCCTTTGAATGTAAACGATGTGGGAAAACCTTCACTTCTTCTAACTCCTTTCACTATCATGAAAGGACTCACACTGGAGAGAAACCCTATGAGTGTGAGCAATGTGGGAAAGCTTTCCGATCTGCCTCAATCCTTCAAAAGCACATACGAACTCACACAGGAGAGAAACCCTATGGATGTACGCAATGTGGGAAAGCCTTTAGAGTTGCCTCACAACTTAAAATGCATGAAAGGACTCACACAGGAGAGAAACCCTATGAGTGTAAGCAATGTGGAAAAGCCTTCATTTCTTCCAATTCCATTCGTTATCATAAAAGGACTCACACTGGAGAGAAACCTTATAAATGTAAACAATGTGGAAAAGCCTTCATTTCTTCCAACTCTTTTCTCTATCATGAAAAGATTCACACTGGAGAGAAACCCTATGAGTGTAAGCAATGTGGGAAAGCCTTTAGATCTGCCTCAGCCCTTCATAAGCATGTAAGGACTCACGCTGGCTAGAAACTCTGTGGATGTAAGCAATATGGTAAAGTCCTTAGATGGGACTCAGAACTTCAAATGCATGGAAGGACTCACTGCAGAGACACCTGTAATCTCAGCATTTTGGGAAGCCAAGGCAGGAAGATTGCTTAAGCTGAAGAGGTCAAGACCAGCTTGGGCAACATGGTGAGACTTCATTACATAATAAAATAAAATAGGCCAGGTACAGTGACTCTCACACCTGTAATCCCAGCACTTTGGGAGGCGGAGGTGGGCAGATCACCTGAGGTCAGGAGTTCAAGACCAGCCTGACCAACATGGAGAAACCCCATCTCTACTAAAAATACAAAATTAGCCAGGCATGGCAGGTGCCTGTAATCCTAGCTGCTTGGGAGGCTGAGGCAGGAGAATCACTTCAACCTGGGAGGCAGAGGTTGCGGTGAGCTGAGATTGCGCCATTGCACTCTAGCCTGGGCAACAAGAGTGAAACTCTGTCTCAAAAAATAAGTAAATAAAGTGAAATATACATATTTACATTTTGTATATAAATATGCATATATATTTAAACATAACTATTTAAAATGCATAAGTAAAATATATAGGATATTTATATACATATATTTATATATGTATTTGTCTGTGTGTGTGTGTGTTTTGGGAGACACCCAAAACACCCAGGTTGAAGTGCAGTGGTACAATCATAGTTCCCTGTAGCCTTGAACTCTTGGGCTCAAATGATCCTCCTGCCTTAGCCTTCTGAGGAGCTATGACTACAGACAGGTACCACCATTCTTAGCTCATTTTTTATTCCTTTCATAGAGACAGGTTCTCATTCCATTGCTCAGGCTGGTTGTGAACACCTAGCTGTGAGCAATCCTCCCACCTTAGTATCCAAAAGTGCTAGGATTACAGCTGTGAGCCACTCTACCTGGCTGATAAACATATTCTGAAAAGTTAACTTTATGCTATCTGTGAAGGTATATATCCTGAGGATAAAACAGTTTTGATTTTAAAGAAGGAAACTACTTATTTCCTACATGAAAGTGAGGAAGATGTGGGAGAAAGCCTGTCTATTTCCAGCCGCGACCAGAACCCCGGGGGTGGAGGACAGAACTGTGATCCAGTTGCCTTGCCCTGGAAAGCAAGGCATTTACACTGGGGTTTGAAGTCATGTGGAAAAAGCCTTTTATTGCAGGGTTCCAATCAAGGAGGACCACACAGGTATAGTCTTAAATCCTGACCTCCCCAACTGGATTGCAGGCAGGGATTTTTAGAAGCAGGAGTAAGTTTTAGGACTGTAGATGCTATACACAAAATAACAAATGAATACATGGAGATTACTCATTGGTTTATGCTTGAAAGGGTGGGATATTTTAAAGCTGGGGCTTATAGGTCATAGGTAGATTTAAAGATTTCCTGATTTGCAATTGGTTAGGGAAGAACAACTTTGTTTAAAATTTGGGGGTCAGCAGAAAAACGTTACCTGGGTAGAGGAAGTGACTTCAAGTCCTTCAGGAAGAAACCTAAAACAAAGGAGGATAATTAGAGTACAGTCTTCACTTCTGCTTTATCTAGTGTCTAATTACCAGGGAATGCCTTTAGTGGGGGCCCAAGACTTTGAATGACAATTTAGAGACAAATTCAAAGGTGCTATCCTTAGCTTTTTTGCCTAGTTTGTTTTGTTTGAGACAGTCTCCATCTGTCACTTAGGCTGGAGTGCAGTGGCTTGATCACTGCTCACTGCAGCCTACATCTCCCAGGCCCATGGGATCCTCCCATCTCAGCCTCCCGAATAGCTGGGACTACAAGTGTGAGCCACCACACCCATCTAATTTCTTTTTTTTTTTTTTTTTGAGACGGAGCCTCGCTCTGTCGCCCAGGCTGGAGTGCAGTGGCACGGTCTCGGCTGGGATTACAGGCATGCGTCACCACGCCCGTTTACTTTTGCATTTTTAGTAGAGATGGGGTTTCACCATATTGGCCAGATTGGTCTCAAACTCCTCACTTTGTGATCTACCTGCCTTGGCCTCCCAAAGTGCTGGGATTACGGGCATGAACCACCGCACCTGGTCACACCCACCTAATTTCTTAATTTTTTGTAGAGACCTGGTCTCCCTGTGTTGCCCACGATACTCTGGAACTCCTGGGTTCAAACAGTCCTGCCTTGGCCTCCCAAAGTGCTGAAATTACAGGCTTGAGCCACTATAACTGCTATCTAGTTTTCATGGAAAAACAAATATTTCTGAAATTTTAACTTTTTTGGCTATTGTGTTAGGCTATTATTGTTTTCTTGTTTAATAAATTGCATATTTATTCCTGGGACTAGTTTGGTATGTGGAATTTATTTCTTCTTTTTGAGACAGAGTCTCGCTCTTGTCGCCCAGGTTGGAGTGCAGTGGCGTGATCTTGACTCACTGCAACATCTACCTCCTGGGTTCAAGCAATTCTGCCTCAGCCTTCTGAGTAGCTGGGACTACAGGCGTGTGCCACCATGCCTGGCTGAATTTTATACTTTTATTTTTATTTTTTTGAGATGGAGTCTTGCTCTGTCACCAGGCTGGAGTGCAGTGGCGCGATCTCGGCTCACTGCAACCTCCACCTCCCTGGTTCAAGGGATTCTCTTGCCTCAGCTTCCTGAGTAGCTGGGACTACGGGCGCACACCACCACACCTGGCTGATTTTTGTATTTTTAGTAGAGATGGCATTTTACCATGTTGGCTGGGATGGTCTTGATATGTTGACCTTGTGATCTGCCTGCCTTGGCCTCCCAAAGTGCTGGTATTACAGGCATGATCCACCACTCCCGGCCTGTTTCTTTTTTGTTTTTTTTTTTTTTTTGAGACAGAGTCTCGCTCTGTCACCCAGGCTGGAGTGCAATGGCACAATCTCGTCTCACTGCAACCTCTGCCTCGTGGGTTCAAGCAATTCTCCTGCCTCAGCCTCCCGAGTAGCTGAGATTATAGGCGCTCGCCACCACACCTGGCTGATTTGTTTGTACTTTTAGTAGAGACGGGGTTTCACTATGTTGGCCAGACTGGTCTCGAACTCCTGACCTTGTGACCTACCTGCCTCGGCCTCCCAAAGTGTTGGGATTACAGGCGTGAGCCACACTCCTGGCCAAATTTTTTTTTTTTAAGACGGAATTTTGCTCTTTTGCCCAGGCTGGAGTGAAGTGGTGTGATCTTGGTTCACTGCAACTTCCGCCTCCTGGGTTCAAGCGATTCTCCTGCCTCAGCCTCCTGAGTAGCTAGGATTACAGGTGCCCACCACCACGCCCAGCTAATTTTTGTATATTTATTGTTGCCATGTTGGCCAGGTTGGTCTTGAACTCCAGACCTCAGGTGATCACACCTGCCTTGGCTTCCCAAAGTGCTTTGGTTAGAGGCATGAGCCACCGTGCCCTGTCATATTTAGGCACTATTAATTTTGTAAAACATCCAGATGTGATGTCATGTGTCTATGGTCACTGCTTGTCAGGAAGCTAAGTCAGAAGGATTACTTTAGCATGGGAGTTTAATGCTGCACTGTTCCCCAGCCTGGACTAGGTAGGAAGATCTTGTCTCTAAAAATAAATAGCTCACGCCTGTAATCCCAGCACTTTGGGAGGCCGAGACGGGTGGATCACAAGGTCAGGAAATCGAGACCATCCTGGCTAACACTGTGAAACCCCGTCTCTACTAAAAAAAATACAAAAAATTAGCCGGGCGTGGTGGCGGGCACCTGTAGTCCCAGCGACTCCGGAGGCTGAGGCAGGAGAATGGCATGAACCTGGAAGGCGGAGCTTGCAGTGAGTGGAGATCGCGCCACTGCACTCCAGCCTGGGTTACAGAGCGAGACTCTGTCTCCAAAAAAAAAAAAAAAAAGAAAAAGAAAAAAATAAATAAACGAATAAAATTTTAAAATAATCAAAAAGTAGAAATGAAAGCTGGGTGTGGTTGCTCACACCTGCAATCAATCCCAGCACTGTGTGGGACGTCAAGGTGGGCAGATCGCTGGAGCCCAGGAGTTTAAGACCAGCCTGGGCAACATAGTGAGAATTTGTATCTACAAACTAATACAAAAATTAGCCAGTTATGGTGGCATGGGCCTGTGGTCCCAGCTACTCAGGAGGCTGAGGTGAGAGGATTGCTTGAATCCAGGAGGTAGAGGTTGCAGTGAGCTGAGATCACGCTAGTGCACTCCAGTCTGGATGACAGGTGAGACTCTGTCTCCAAAAAAATAAAAAATTAAACAAATAGAAGTGAAAATTAAGCTACTGAAAAGAAAACTTGCTATACAACGTAAGTCTTCTTTGCCCCTGCGTGACCTCATTGGCCTAGCTATGTTCCCATTTATATTCAGTTTTTCATAAGGGAAATAACAATTGCTTAGCTACCTTTGGAGGACGAAAAAGTGTCAGTGGAAGTAGCAATGTACCTGGCAGAACATTACCAGAGGGAAGAAGTATTTTTTTTTTTTTTTTTGAGACGACATCTCGCTTTTGTACCCTAGGCTGAAGTGCAGTGGCACGATCTCGGCTCACTGCAACCTCCACCTCCTGGGTTCAAGTGATTCTCCTGCCTCAGTCTCCCAAGTAGCAGGGATTACAGGTGCGTACCATCATGCCCAGCTAATTTTTTGTATTTTAAGTAGAGATGGGGTTTCACCATGTTGGCCAGGCTGGTCTTGAACTCCTGACCTCAGGTAATCTGCCTGCCTCAGCCTCCCAAAGTGCGGGGATTATAGGCATGAGCCACTGCGCCCAGCCTTTTGTTTTTTGTGTTTTGTTTTTGTTTTTTTAAGATAGAGTCTCACTCTGTCACCCAGGCTGGAGTGCAGTGGCGGGATCTCAGCTCACTGCAGCCTCCACCTCCCAGGTTCAGGTGATTCTCATGCCTCGGCCTCCTGAGTAGCTGGGACTACAGGTGGGCACCACCACACCCGCCTAATTATTATTATTATTATTATCATTTTTTTGAGACGGAGTCTTGCTCTGTCACCCAGGCTGGAGTGCAGTGGCCAGATCTCAGCTCACTGCAAGCTCCTCCTCTCGGGTTCACGCCATTCTCCTGCCTCAGCCTCCCGAGTAGCTGGGACTACAGGCACCCGCCACTTCGCCCGGCTAGTTTTTCTTTTGTATTTTTTAGTAGAGACGGGGTTTCACCGTGTTAGCCAGGATGGTCTCGATCTCCTGACCTCGTGATCCACCCGTC